CAACTGTGTAGGAACCTGAAGACGGAGATAGAGTCCCATCTCCGAAACGTCGTTTTACGTTTTATATTTACTAGACGATGGATAATATCCAAGAAAATTTTTATTCAATTGACTCTTCACCATCGTCAAGAAGTTTTAGATTTGATATCATTCATGTGTTCTCTCTCTCTCTCTCTCTTCTTCCCCCCCTCCCCCCCATGTGATGTAGCAACAGAAACTTCAGAACGGATTGTATGATAATTTATTCCAGTGTTAAAGTAATCCGTGATTGACATTCTGATTCCGGCAATTAAGTGAAGAAAATCCGTCTAATCCGTCTCATTGAATCAGTTGCAGACACTGTTGAACACATTCAAATCCCTTGGGCAGACTTTTGTATGTAATCAGGTTTAATGTACGAATGACTCATTATGAAGACGGGTGTCTGATAGTGACTGTGTCTCGAGGATCTTGCTGCTTGTACAGTACACGGAGCTTGAATTTTAGTGAAATTTCAATAGGCCAGTCTCAGTTGGCTTAGAAGCTCAGAATGACTTGTCGCCCTGACGATGAAGGTAGCAAGGACCTCTGGAATGGTGGTACTTCTACCAGACTACACGTCGCTACAGCCCTTAAGACGGCCATCTTATAAAACAAGAACGTTTAGACTACTCAGTTTTTCCGTCTGACACAACCAGCTAGATAAAAGAACGATGTCTAGGCAGACATGTCGATTGTCATGATAGACAAATATTGATGTGAAATTATGTCTCAGGAGGATGTTTTGCGTATATTAAAATATTTAGACAAAGCAAAGGGTGGATTCACAGCGAAGCAACTAGCAACAAGCAGCAGGCTATAAGCGTTTGACGATGTGCGAAATCGTACCGTGTTCACATTGACGCCAAAGCAATCGAATTGCTAGTCCGTGATTGATCATTCAGTTGCACGAACTTATTTCAGTAGTCACAGTTGCTGTATTCTGCGATTCGCTGCTAATAAAGTGATTTATTGAGTGATGCGAGTTAATACAAACACGCCCCTTCCACAGCGACATGCGATGTGTATCACACGGCGATACAGCAAAAATGTTGCTTTCTGCACGTATCGTGTATTGCAGAGCGAGAGTTTTAAAAGTTACATCACTATCTTGCTGGTGTGAACTGTTCGCATTAAAGTGCGTTCTATTTTTATAAACGACATCTATCGTCTATCGCCTGTTGCTTGCTAGTTGCCAAAACAGCAAGTACTACCAAATGTCGTACAGTAGCAAGAGCAGGTGGAACTGATAGAAGACGTCAACCCTTCGTTACCACGAGGCGTGGCACCGATGTAGCTTGTAGTTTTGAGCAGAATTTTTGCTGATACTACGTTTTTTTAATGTGATCGAAATATTTCTACTTTAATTTTTTCTTCTTCACTGTATCACTCCATAGTACAAGGCATAGATGTGAGATATTTATAATTTTTAAGAATTAAGAAAGTTTATGTAAACAGTTTTACACAGTATTTTCATTTGTTTAAATCTTGTCAGTCTAATCACAATAAAATTCCTATTAAATATTAAAATATTACTAAAATTAACATTTAAATATTTAAAATGATATTCTCTATCGAAATGTTCGATTTACATTAGATCATCTAATGTAAATCGAACATTTCGATAGAGAACATCATTTAATATATTTTAAATGTTTAAATGTTAATTATAGTAATATTTTAATATTTAATAGGAATTTTATTGTGATTAGACAAGATTTAAACAAATATATATTTATCACAATATGACGCAACTTTATCATCTCACAGTATTTTCAGTTTTCATGAATTTAAATACTGAGAAAAAATAAATGTGGTGTTCTAAATAATTTGTTTGGCGTGATTAAAAACCAGTGTATATAGAAATGTCATTCTCATTTTTCTCTCTCACGAATGTTCATTTCTCATTGCTTCGTAGCAAGCGACACATCTTAATCCAGCTGGCATCTTGTCCACTAAAACACAGATCGCGACCGAAGCAGTAGCGAGGTAAATTCCGTATTTTCTCGATTTTAATATACCATCGACTGTAATCGATTTTCAGGAAAAATAAGACGCGATATTAATTCTTTAGACACCATCAAATGAAGACTCGCCCCGATTTAATAAATTTAAACATTTGATAAAGCGTGTCTTAAAAATCGAGGAAATACGGTGCTATCAATGTATGAACAACCTTCGTAGAATTCATCAAACCTTCAATGAACGTCATGATGGCAGAGAACAAACCCCGTGGTGCGGCTACATGTTTACATTTCAGGAGCATCCATTTTGGGGACAGCGTTGAATTGGTTTTGGCGTCCCCCGAAACGGTACCACTGTTTCGCCCATACAAAACTCTCTAAATGGTTTGATATAAATTTGTGCTTAGGACGATCAGTAGGGGGTGAATATAGAATATACGATCATCTAGTAGGATTCTTCACACTATTTCCATAGAAGTTAGCACATTTTTAGATCAGTAAGTTGGAGCCTTTGGCTTCATATTCAACCTCACTGAAAACATAAAACCATTTAATCTTTCCATATCCATGGAAGTGACATTAGCCAGTTTACTCTTTCGGAATATCCGAAGGACGGTCGGATAATCGGACATGTCGAATAACGCGGAAGACTAATGAAAAAGACAAATTTAAATATCAACTCAACTTATAATTGATATTTAAGGAATATGAAAATAAGCAAACACACCTAGTGTCTTTTTTATAGTGTTAATGGTTTGCAAAGTTTTATGATATTTAAGGGATCAGTCGTGACAATATTGAGGTAATATCCCGAATTTTGCTGGAGAAACTGAGGAAACACGGGGAGATGATAGCTGCTCTCCGAGCTGAGATTTGAACCAGGAATATCTCGGGGTACTGACCATTCAACAGTGGCGTTCTGTTGGGTTTTATAAAGGCAGGGAAAATGCATTCATCAGCTGCGTAAGAAAGAATCTGTGGCATGGGGTTGGTCGATTGTTCAACCATTCAGTCCATTGAGAGAGACCCTGGCCACACGACCGTAGAAAGTACGTCCGTTGCAACGGACGTAGGTGAGGACACCACACGAGCGCAGTGTGATGATCAGTTGCCCCAATGGAGCCGGAAGAAGCCGTTCCGTTCTGTGGTCTTGCCGCTTCATAATTCTATGACGGACGTCACGATGTGCGTTACATCGGACGTACTTTGTACGGTCGTGTGGCCCCAGCCTTAGCAGGCGTTGACGAATTTGGCTATTATAGACAGCGTATTGCCTAAAACGGACAATTAAAGGAGGTTAACGCATATGTTCCAGCTCTTTAAAGACCCTTGTGTCATCCTGTTTGATGAAGATTTCTGAAAAAGTTATCACGTTATATATTTAACAATCGAGATAATGACCTCTGACCTCGAGATGGAAACCACGCGATTATGTCAAGCTGAAGGCCACGAATTACGCCATAAACTTGGTCTGCTGATCTAATTAATGACTTCCCAAATGCAGCTCAGCTGTCAGCATGGGGGATTGTGCTTTTAAATTTAACTGGACTCTCTTGGTTTCACATGTTACTGTTGCACGCTTTTCTGCAAAATTGTTTCACCGTGTACCATGATTATCGTAGGCTCCAATTTCAACGCCAGTTTAGGTTTGGGGTGGTGGTAGTAGCAGTTTCCCCCCTCCCCCATTTGGATCCGGATTCTGCACTCTATTCTGTAATATACAAACCATTCCTCAGGTCTAGCGTCCATGTCTGCGTCCGAATACCTTTATTCTTCGTTCTTCGTCCTTCGTCCTTCGTAGCTTGAACTTGGTTGTTCATTTTGCGGTGGTAGACATTTTTTTTATGTTATCTTGTTGGATTTGGTTAGGTCGAGGTGCATGACGTTGGTGCGGGATATATTGCTTAATCAGATTTTTGTTTGTGACCACATATCGTAGACCTATGCTATCTTGCGAGTGTCCGTCCGGTTTCGAGGCTTGGTATAATTTTTCGTAACAATACACTTTTCACGGTGAAAGGTTATTAGCCTCATGCCCAAGCTTGAGGACTTCCCCTCGTCGGCTGTCCGCGACTGCTTATTCAATATAAGACAATTATCTTCATGGAGAAATTAATTTCAGAGTTCACTGTGCCTGCATTAATCATGCCAGTACTCATATTTTATTGCCGTTGGAACAGAATAATCTATACCCATTGTCTCTCTATTATATTTCAGGTTTAAAATGTAAGTTCATTAATATATGAATTGTGTTCAGAAATGTGAAAATAAGGAAGGGTGGTTGCATGCATGTTTGTTTCTTCTCCCAGAAGAATGAGTACAGGGAATTTCCTTTGTGGTGGTGAAGATTTATTAATGCTACATCACACTGAGTTATGTAACAATGTTTATAACTGCTACAGCTGTTGGGCCATGTGACCAAAGCAGAATGATGCCATCGTTATGTTAATACTACTTCAAAGAATTATGCTGTCATGTTACATAGCAATATTTGAAGCTTAGGCTGTTGTACTCATAATAAACCTTGTGTAGTTGTCAACATATCATTAAAGGTGCATATCAGCCTTATTGTTGTTTCTTTAATACTTTTGTAAGTAAACACTTTTAAAATACACTTAATGATAATTTTTGAAGATTGAGGTTCCAGGAATTTACCTCACGGAGTTATTACAGGATATACCTAATTTGTATAAATAATTTTAAGTGTTCTGTTCAGTAAAATTATTGAGATATCCTTCAAGCTATATGTGCTTTGTATTTGAGAGTTCCAAGGTTGGCTGGCCTGCTGACCAATCTTTCCAAGTTACACGATGTTGCTGCTTTACAAATAAGTCCTGTCTCCTCAATCCTTTTAGTCAGAAGCCTTTGAGCATAAAGGGGCATTTCAAATTATTGAATTGTGTTTGGCACAAATATTTATTTCTTATGCTGCATTGTTTATCTCAGCAGATGCCTGTGGGGCTAATCAGTTCAGATGTGAGAACGGACACTGCATCCCATCACGATGGAGGTGTGACTCCACTCCAGATTGTGATGATGGCTCAGATGAGCCACCTGACTGCAGTAAGTGAAATCAATGAATGGAAAACACAAACTTAAAATGAATATACACAGATATCAAAAGACATGTGAACTTGAGAGAAAGTTTCAAGTTAATTTTTTTTTTGCGTGAGGTATTATTATGACACTTTGAATTTTATGGCATTGTATTCATACACAAACACAAATTTGGGGCAATGATAGATTAAGTACACATTAGACAGTGCTGTAGCATTCCATGAAGATATTTCCTCTCCTTTAACTACACCAGTTACATTGATGATGGAGGCACAAGCACCTCCGAAATGTCAGAAACACTTTATTTGTGTTTTGTCAAATTATAATTTTTGCTCTTTTGAGAACATTTTGTTTTTTCTTTATTATCACATTCTACACATTTTTGTTCTTGGTTTCATCAAGTATTTTTATGCTCATGATACAGTTATGTTTGGTGCCCTTTTTTCACATGATCTCTATAATGATTGTTAGAAGCAGAGTATTTCCTGCTACTTGTTCCTAAATTGTTGTCCTTTTGACCACTTTGGGGGTCATCCTCCTGTTGTAAATTTGTAATGACCTATGAAGGAAGGGGAAAGGTTGGAAGATGTACTCTGGAATTAGCAGTAAATATCAACATGGCCTTTTGTTTATACCAGAATACTGTGATCCTGTTTGATTTGTCATAGACTGAATGAAGGGCGAACCCTCACCCACCGTGTGATATTCAAGCAGCCAGCACGTTTCCACATTTGGTTCACCCTTTTCAGTGAGCCTTAGCTCTGTGTCACAGTTTTCTGTTCACTGCTGTGGTGCCATGGCTGCTGAATCGGCTTACTTGTCTCTATGTTAAATACAGGACACACCAGAAGTTTTAAATGTATTGAAGATGAATTTCTCCTGGGTTCTTGCACCGTGTTCTCTGGTAGAAGTTTACTTATGTTTCATAGGTGCTTGCTGCTTCCATCATCAAAGCAATTGCCAACATGCTACAAAAACCCATAAGACAGCCATCTTCATACTTTCCATCATCGAGAGTCTGAAATCACACATAGAAACATGTTTTTCAAGTGATATGTAGGTTGATGTTGCTTTCTGGGTATTAACACTGTGTGGACTTGTAGGAAGATACCAGAATTCTGAAGGTACCTGCTACTTTCATATTTTGGGTTGAGGAGTCATGGACTTGGTATATTTCTGGTATCTATCTATAAGTTTATATGTCATTAGTACCCAGAAGACCAATATCTTCATCACAATGAGAACATTAAATCTAATAAAGTGATTAACTTCTTGTTTCATATTCTAAGGATAAAGTAATATGAATGTAGGGAGGTGGTCCTGATAGAACATCAATTTATCTCTGTAGGTCAGATCTAAAACTTCTTGACGATGGTGAAGAGTCAATTGAATAAAACTTTCACTTTTTACTTTGTCCGGAGATAGGGATTAGCTCTATCTAGTGGGCCCAACTGTGTAGGAACCTGAAGACGGAGATAGAGTCCCATCTCCGAAACGTCGTTTTACGTTTTATATTTACTAGACGATGGATAATATCCAAGAAAATTTTTATTCAATTATCTCTGTAGGCTTGAGTCAACATGTCAGTCAGATGTATTTGGCAATAACTATTACAATTAAATGTAAAATGTGATTAGAATTTTTTGTCTCTTTTTAATATTGAAAAGCTTGCACAGTAACAAATTAACAGTTAATCATCACTGTTATGTTATTAGCATATTATCTACTTGAGAGTATTTTTCTAAAGTCTGTTGCAACCATAACTACCAAGTGCAAGATGAGCTTCAGTGACATTGTATATCTCATCAACATGCAAGGAGTGCAGAATTTTATCAGTAACACTTTTTTCAATAATTTTCTACACACCACCATGTTTAATTACATCAAACTGTTTGATGTTTTTATGCTGCAGTGCTGTTTTGTAGTCGGCATTTAAATATCCGGTAAATTTTGCTGAAGTTTTCTGGTGTTAATTGAGTGTAATGTTACCATAATTAACTTAATTTATCTGTCAATTATTGTAAAAAAATCCCTCTTTTTACTAAATTCTGTTTTCATTAACAGCCAGAGACATATTTTGAAGAAGAAAACACTTTCATGTGCTTTGCAGTATCTGTTGTTTGTGTGCTGAGATAGAGCTATGTACTCTGCTTGTCAGCTAACCCTTTCACAGAATAAGTGCTCGTTATTACATTACTGCATAATGCAAATGCTGCCTAATGCTGACAGGATATAGCTGTTTAGGATCATTCAGAAGTAGTTTTAACTAACGGGGCTGCACAAACTGATTTTCACTGCAAGGAGCCTTAGACTAGACATCACTTTGATTTGACTTTCTTCTAACAGCTGTGGTAATTTGGAGATATTACTAGGGAATTCTAATTCTATCTGCTGTAGTGAGGTTTTCATTAGTAAGAAGTGTTAATAATGGATTTTGATGTACAACTTTGGCTTTCAGGGTTTGGCCATGTGATGTTGAAAATTATCTGATATTTTGGCAAACATTACAGTTGCTATCTTCAGGGTGAAGAAGAAATAATTGGACATTTATGGAAGCCTTATATAGGGCAGGATCAACACCATAAAATTTAACATGCCACCCTCTGCCTGGCCTGCATAAGGCTTCCAAAAAATGTTTGGCTAGACCCTGAACACGGCAATTGGAATTTTTGTAAAAGCATTGAATAATTTTCCACATTTGGTGTATTTCATCACCAAAAGCCAAAGTTGTACATTGAACTCCAGCTACAAAAATCTAAGGACAAGAATGGATTTTTTTTAAACTGTAGCGTTTACAAGAGTCTATACTTCTTCAATAAGGCCTGTTTCTTGTTATACTTTAGATGGCAGTGACCATAGAAATGATAACTTTTATTTCAGTCACTTTGAGACCATAGAAATGTTAATATAATTTGTGGTAATTCATGAGAAACATCAACAAGTTTTAGGTTTGTATGTTTATAACTTAATGCTGTGGATTGAATGTAACATAATAGACTATTATTTGGCATTAATGACACACCTTCCCAGTGTTGTCTTGCTTCTCCAGTCAGAGACATCATTTGGGAGGAATAATTGTAATGAAGAATAATTAAAAGAATTGTATGAGATAAGAAGTTTTTACTATGGTGAAAATATGGATTGTCGTCTTCTGGGTTATGATGACATAGATCATCATTCAAAGCCCTCTTAAATTGATCATTATTTTAATTTGTTTTGGGATGTGTGACAGTGCTTAAGAAGATTAAATGTCCTTGTTTATTTGTCCCATTTATTTTGTAGAGAGTAACCTGATATTTAATCTGCCATGTCAGGTGGCTCTTCAACTGTTTTCACTCTTCAGAATTGTATATAAGACTAGCAGACTGCCCACAGTTGTACTGCAGGGAAAGTCAACAGATGTTTACGTTTCTTTCCAATCTTTATTGCTCAAAAGCTTGTCATAGGCCTGACCATCATCCAGTTCATATCATTCAGTATCATAGAAAAAATTGTTTATTATCATCCCTAAACCTGATATCTTCACCGAGACTTAGGCCCAGAGCAGTTTTTGGGTTTGTGACCTTAGTTCCTGTAATCTCCTCAGTGAAACAAACAATGTTTTTCTTCGTACTGTTCTGTTATGCTTAGTTTCTGTGTTACAGAAACCATCTTTACTGGGCCTCAAACCCAGGACAGTTTTGTGGTTGTGGCCTTTGTTCCTGTAGTCTCCTTTCGAAAACAAAGAACTTCGGTCTTGGCACTGTTCATCTGTTGTGTGCTTAGTTTCCAACTTACAGAAACTGTCTTCACCACCACCACCACCACTCGAACCAAGGACAGTTTTCCGGGGTTCTGGCCATTGTTCTTATAAGTTCCACATTGAAACAAATGCCTGTGGCCTTGGTATCATTCTTCTGTCATGCTTTCTTTCTGAGCTACAGGAAACACCCTCACCAGGACAAGAACTCAGGGCAACTTATCAGTTCTGATCTTGATGAAACCTCTTTTTGGTCTCAATGTAAAAGCGTGACAAGTTTCATACAAATCAGTGTATCTGTTCTCAAGCTGTAAGTGAACACACACAAACAGTTTCAGTTTTATACATAAAAAAACAATAAAATATGTAGCACTAATGTGAAACATTGAGTTTATGTCTGGAAAATTTGACATATGATCAGTACTTAGGGAAATTGTGCAAAGGCATTGATCATTAACTTGCATAATTATTAATTTGAATTTCTTTCTGTACTCATCATATACAAATGTGATTAAAATTTGACCTAGTTTCATTGTTTCTTATAATTAACTACATAGATTGGTATTTTTTTGTACATTAATTTCATGGCTTGGGGCTAGTGTGTGTATGTAGGAGGGATAACATCAAGAAGACTATCATTGGCATGCTGTTATCTAAATTCTTGATAAAGCTTGGACCGTATATGTGAATTGAAGCTTTTTAGAGATGATAGGTATCGGTAGTACTTTCCAGAACTTTGTTAGAAACAAAGCAGTAGTATGAATTTGACTTATTTTTGTATTTTATTTCCTGTTAACATATGTTACATTTCAGTACCAAGACTGTGCAGGCTGGGACAGTTTCAGTGCAACCTCACACGCAAGTGCATCCCACTTGGCTGGATATGTGATGGAGAGTCAGACTGCGGTATCTCTAACAGGATGGTTCCAGATACATCAGATGAAAATCCAAAACTATGTGTGTATCTATTATGCATGTGCCAAGGTTTAATCCTCCTTAGCTGAAATGTTTTCCAAGTAACTTATTACATGTAACATAAAAATTTGTATGTAGGAATTGAGGTTTTCATGGCAGTCAGAATGAACATGGTTGTCTTCTGGGTTGTAGCACTGTGTAGTCTGCTAGAAGTTTATAAACATTTCAGAGGTATTTGCTGTAGGATGTACTTCTGAAATGTCAGTAAACTTCTAGTTGACTACATGGCAGATCAACCCACAAGACAGCCATCTTAAAAATATTTACTGTTTCTCCATTTTCCTCTCCTACCCCTACTAAGAGATCTGTAATTGTATTGGTGATACTGAAGCATGGAATGAATTTACATAGCATTGAAGTCAAACATTACTTCATGCATGTGCAAGTTATCTTGAGAGTTTCCTTCCTTGTTGCCCCTTGGTCTGACCAGCCATGTCAAGGTCACACAAGCAAAGGCATTCTGCTAATTTATGAAAACATTACTGGAGTATATCATCATTAGTGATCTTCCTTTCCTTACTGTGAAATACTTCGTTAAACCTACTTGTGCTGGTGTTGGCTGACTTGTCACCACATGCACTACTATGAGAAAATGACCAAAGGATTGATTGGAGCTTGTGTTTCCTACCACAATCAGACAGAAGCCTTCTTCCATTTTGACCCTAATCCCTTGTTTGGCTGCCATGATAACCATTCTGTAAAGTACAGAATCTCAGAATACATACGTAGAAATTGCATTCTCTGAGGCTGACAAAATCTAGCATTTTATAATGTTAATGACTGTTGGTCTTCAAGGCTGACAGATGTCACACATTTAAAGTAGCATATACAGAGTTTTAATAGGTTAAAAAAATGTTATACCAAAACATCTGTGCATACAGTAGTTATTTTCCTTGTTTTTTGGTTTAGTCTTGGCCTTGACATGTTACTTTCGATTGATCACTCATTTGTACATTTCAATTTCAGGCCTGAAAGGTATTCCCTGTCCTCCAAATTATTTTCGCTGTGAAGAATCTCTTCAGTGCCTGCCTATAAGAATGCTCTGTAATGATGTTATTGACTGTCCAGACAAATCTGATGAGGGAGAATTCTGCTGTAAGTTGACAGTCCTATTTAAATAATAGTCATGAGCTTCAGGAGTCCTTTATACAAGATGCGGTTTTATTTGTTCTGTGCGCTAGTGTTTAGTAGTGCACTGTATGAATCTTTATGAAAGTTATTAGGAAGATTTTTTCTAAAAGCAATTTAATTTGAAGAACCCTTTTGTTTTATAAATTAACAAAGTTCATCTCATTATTAAAAGTGGTGAGGGCATTTTAAACCTTAGCCTCTATTCCTCCTTAGTTACACAATTGTGGTCAGGATGAAAAAAGTTGTATATGACAGGTCCATTTATAAATGCTGTGTTCTGGGATTACCTTTGAAATGTCTTTTCCAGCATTATTTTTTGCTTATACTTGTGTTTTGTATTTGTTTTGCATTTGCAGACAATAAGAAAATGTGTGATTCAGTGCAGTGTGCACATTTATGCCGTCCAAGTCTGTCAGGTCCTATCTGTTTCTGCCCTGAGGGACAACTACCCAATAAGTCACACTGTGTTGGTATGGAATAATCATTTACTGTGAACTGTCTGTAGTTCTCCTTCTATTTAAATTTGTATTTTAAGGAATGTGCTTTCACAGATTGCAGTACTGGCATCCTATGAGTGTTTGCAGTTAAGTTTATTGATTGTGGATTACATTACAGTTTGTCATAAGTTTCGTGTTTTGAATGATCTTGTAGTGTAGGCAGTAGATCAATAATCCAAATAATATTCACCATCATACCATGAAGTGTGAGGTATTGTGCAGCTGAAACAAACTATTGCTTTCAGATTCCAATGAATGCCTCATTGATGGATCATGTGATCAAGTTTGTATCAATAAGAATGGCACTTTTGACTGTCAATGTGTGTCAGGTTATGAAAAAAATGGTTCCAGTTGTATTGCCATCAATGGTAAGTATGAGTCTGCAGCTTACTGTGTAGATTTTTTGCACTGCTGATGTTTATTGATGTTAATGAAACTTGAAAATGGGAGAATAAGCAAATAAAATTAATTATTATTCATGCAATCAAAGGAGAACTTATTATCAAATGGAATACATAAATTGTATGTATGACATGCAAGGAAGGTTAAAGGTAATTTCATAACAAATAATGAAAATGAATGAGGTTCATGCTTTGGACCTCATGAGAATGGGTGAATTGGATCATATGTATTTGGCATTGCATTTGTGGGCCACCACACAGGTTCATGTTCCTCTCTGTCTATGTACTTCATGTTTTACAGGACCAGGAGTTTCTTAGGGTTAGATAGAGGGTAATGTTAAGGTGGATTTTCAGTAAATATGTTGTGAAGGTCTGAGCTAGATTGAACTGGCTTAGAATAATGTTCAGAGCCAGGCTTTTGTGATGAATGATGATAAACCTTTGAGGTTTTGAAGAACAGTTATGTAATTATCATCTTTCCAAGGAACACTTTACTGTGTCATTGGGTGATATATTCTCCCATCTGTATCTAGGTCTCCCTAGCAGTTTCTGCAGTTGAGGCTTTACAACCAGCATTTTATGTGCATCTCTTTTGTCCTTCATTTAATCACATGAATATTGTTTGGTGTACAGTACAGACTGATGCATATTTGAGGTCTTCTATGCTTTCATTTGCTATGAGAACTTTAAATCTTGTACAAACTGTAAAGTTCATTAGTAAAAAATATTCTTCCTCCAGTTACTACAGACTTAGGTTACAAAATATATAAAAGTAAAGTAAAGCTGTCCTACTACACGCCATGTAGGCGCTAGGGGGAGAGGAGGTATAGCTCCTACTCATTCATGACCTTGGCACTAGATGGGGGTGAGTGGTCAGCATCACTCCCCGGCCGTGCTTTACCCCCGGGAAAGGACCCTGGTAATTGTAAAGGAGGCTGGGTGGGCCCCAGAGCCGGTCTGGACGCAAAGGCTAGAGGAAAAATCCTCTGCCCCCGTCGGGGATCAAACCCCGGCCGTCCAGCCTGTAGCTAGTCACTATACTGACTGAGCTATCCCGGCTCATTTACAAAATATATATAAAATTAAATGTGCCGCAGTGGCTTACACAGTCAGAGTGAAGGCAGGCCCTGAAAAAACTGATGGACTTAACACATAAAATTGGGTTCACAGCTTTGCACAGGACAAGAGCAAGTCTTATTCATCATTATGCCACTGTGGGCCTATTATCAAAGAAGAGCTCTGGCTGGTCTCACATAACAATTTTTTCTGTGAATAAACGCAAGAAGAAACTCCTTGTTCTGTTAAACATGAAGTACATAGAAAAGGGGGGGGGGCACACTTACCTGTGTAATGGTCCACAGATACAATGGCAAAAAGATGTCATGCAATTCATTTAACTGACAAGAGGTCCATATGTATTCAAGTGTGGGACTGTGACTGTCATTCGTACTCACTTCCTAGTGTCCATGCCATTTGGGAAAGGTAGTCTCTTAAGTTACATGGCTTCCTTAACATATTATGTGCAATTTCTTTGGCCATGCACTTTCCTCCATCCTCTTGCAAGCATCTGTGCCAAATAAGCCTATTATACTTGATTAATTTCAACAGTTGATCCTTCCTTTTCTATTCTCTCTCTTGTTTCATCATTCCTGACTCTGAGATATGTAGACATCCTAACAGCTTTTTCCAGTAGTTTTGTTAGAAATGAATAGAATGTTGGATAACATCAAAAATTGTGCATCCATCGGTTTGTTGTTACAGTACCAGAAGATGAACCACCTAGTATTGTGTTTAGTAGCACGTCAGATATCCGACGGATTCATCTTAATGGTTCATCATTCCCTGGCAATAGTTCATTGACTCCTCTTCAGACCTTGGCGCTAGAATTCAATCATCGGAATCGTAGTCTTTGTTTCGTCCGCCATAACTCCAGCAATACAAAACTCAGTTGTGCCAATATTGATGATCTTCATGATTCTTGGGATCTTCCTACACCAGCCATGTTTTCATTGGATTGTAAGTACAGACTAATTTTTTAAGGTGTTAGACTGAATAAAGTAAATTCATCATACTGTTTAGAAGATTGTAACTGTTACAAAAGTATAAAAATAAGTGTACAAACAAATCTGTTTACACTATAAATGACACTACTGCCAAATGCGTTTTGACCTCAAGAGGTCATCATCAGTGGCAAAAAGGAGGGGGGAATTAATTCATATATGCCACTTTTTGCCACTGATGATGACCTCTTGAGGTCGAAATGCGTTTGGCACTAGTGTCATTTATAGTGTAAACAGTTGTTTGTGTACTTATTTTTATATTCCAATACACTACACGGTATGCAAAGTTTTATTGTTATAAAAGTGGTCCTTGAATGTCAAACACATTAATATGTAATGCAAAAAAGAAGAATTACATGTTTTATCAGTCTGAATACAGAGTACAATGCTGTGCGTTATATTTTCAGCAATGACACATATAGCATTGGACTGGATCTCAGGAAACTGGTACTTCTTAGATGATACACGTGAGATGATTTTCCTGTGTAACTCAACAATGAACACATGTGTTATCCTAGTTGAAGTGAACTTGAGCAAGCCCAGGGGCATAGCACTGGACCCTACTAAAGGGTAAGAGACATCAACGTACACTGCAAAGTGTTTGATTGTTTAGGTTCCAGCTTAAAATGCTGATGTAAAACATGTAATTGTAGGAGAGGGTAGATATAAAGTTGGGAATTTGTTAACAGCCTTACCATGCAATCATTTAACATTGCCATAGAAACTTGTAGATTATTAAATAAGTGGAAATGTGACATGTACATGTAATCAGAATTATGTGTTTTCAGGTACATGTTCTTCACCAAGTGGGGAGCTTCAAGTCCAATGTTGGAGCGTACCACACTAGATGGTTTGAACAGGACAACTCTTGTGCAACAAAATATAGTATATCCATATGGAGTGACAGTTGATTATCCCACACAGCATGTCTACTGGGTGGACACATACTTGGATTTTGTGGAGAGGATTGACTATGATGGTTCTAACAGGCGAACAATCAGGAAGGGATTTCTAGTAAGCTTCAGGAATCATTATCACTGTTCTAGGTGCTCTAATAACTATTTGTTGTTCAGGAAATACTGAAAGAAAAATTCTCTCTTTTGTATGCACAGTCTTTGTTTTTGGTTAGTGAATTTTATGTGCAGTTTTGTTTGAAAGTTGAAGATGGAGTTGTCAAACTTTCAAACCCTGTAAACTTCCAACTCTGTAAATTAAATTTAGTTTTTCCCTGCAAAATGCGGGAATTAATTAGCTTAAGTTATTGCAACTAAGATGTACAATATTTGGAATTCCTTGTTTTAATACATGAAGTGAAGGTGTAAAAGGGAAATTGTGTCTGCCCATCTGCATCTATTGTTTAGCTTATACCACTTAATACACATGAAGGAAGTTTAGTGTGAAAGGTTTACACTAATATTTTTCATATAACTTCTAATCTGGTTTGTATTGTTCAAGTATAAATCCTACTTTATGTAGGAGTGTCAATTCATATTATCTTACAATTTTTTGGTAGCACAAATAATTAAAATATGTTGGAATCTCACAGCATTTAATGAATAATTTAAATGTTAATAAATATTCAGATTGAATATAGATTTTACTTTGCTAATAATTACATTATTTGTTTATTCTTGACTACTTGATTTATCCATGATATGACTGTTTGTTGCAGGTGCAGAATTTGTACGATATCACCATTTTTGAGAACAATTTATATGTGACGAGTTGGCGTAACCAGAGCATCATTCGGCTTCATAAGTTCAACTCTGATGACCATGAGACTGTCGCTAACCTAAGCCGGCCTTTTGCTATTGATATTTTCCACAGGCAACGACAACCAGAAGGTGAATGCTAAATGCAGAACACATAACATCAAACTTTCATCTCTTAACAGCCTGTACTTACTTTTATTTAAAGAGGTTTATAAAGTGAGAGAATAATATTAATCATGTAAGTGTGAAAGGTAACTGAGTTGTTGACATCAACAACACAGTTACCTTTCACACTCAATAACAGATCTTTCCTTCTGTCATTGAAACTCCTGTTTTGGAATTAACATGAACTATACTAGGAATGTATTTGCTTTGTTGGGCTTTATATTATGAGTAGCTATGGCTTGGAAAGTATTTATATTAGAGTAGTTAATTTTGCCCCAAATATTAAAAAAAAGTGCTTTATTCTATTTTCAAACTACTCATGTCTAGTACAGACAACACTCTTTTTCACAAACAAATAATGAGCTATTCATAAACTGCAAACAATTTCCTTTATATAAATGTCACCTAAAAGCTTACTTTTTAGTGTGTAGTCTACTGAAGACATCTGTCAGATATACCACACATTAAAAGTCTAATATGTTTGTGCTGTTAAGCCCATTTTTATTAAGGTTTTGCATTTTATCATTGTGAATAGAATGTGTTATTTGTATGTTGATCAGAATCACATCCATGTGGTTTGAACAATGGTGGCTGCCAGCATATCTGTATTCCATCATGGAGGACAGGACGTCCTGTAACACAATGTTTGTGTAAAGCAGGTTACAAGTCCATACAGAATGGAAATTGTGAAGGTGAGTAACTTCATTCATCCTTGTTTTGTTCACTTGAAATATTTGAGAGCCAGTTCATCATGTGTGACTGAATTTTGTTCTGAAACGGACTGAAAGTGTGTTTGTTAAAGGTTTACCAATGTTTTAGGGTCTCTGTCAGCAGGGCAATGAGGCGATGTGAAGCAGTTATGCCATCATAAGAAAAGAAACATTAAAACCGTAAAATATTAGCAACATTAAGGATTCTGTTAAATAAACTGAAATAACTGGTGACTTAGTCCTTGCACGTGGTGCTACAACTTGGAAGACATATATCTTCCCCCTATTTGTTTTGCAGTCTGACTGTTAAGAACTTTGGAACTGTAATCAGCCGCATAGTACAAATCATACATTTCAAACTAAAACAATAAATTTATAAATTCAAATTGTTATGAATTTTTAGTTATTTGTTTTGTCTTACTTCTGACTAGTTATATTCTACTTACCTATTCTCAATTCGCCTTCATGTCACAAGGTTTCTCCTAAAAAGCTTGTTTTTTTTCACTATTCTTAATAAATGTTGGTGAAAGTGTGGGACTACGTAAAAGCTGTATGAAATAATCCCATAAAATTTCATGGTAGATATATTTGTCAACCACACTCTGAGTAACTTCAGAGTTTTGTCTTTTTAATCCATATTTTAGAACAGTGGTATTCAACCTGGGGTACGCGAAAATTTCTTAGGGGTACGTGAAATTTAAAAAGAAGAAGAAGATAAACACTGAATAATCAGTAATGTAATTTATTTAATTTATTTTAGATGTCGATTATATACTTTGTATAACTTGAATTATACATCAACAACTTTGGGGATACAAAGTTGAAGAGAAATTATATCTGGGGGTACGCGAACAAAAAAAGGTTGAATACCACTGTTTTAGATCATTAACTAGTGTCCTGTGTAATGTAAAACCAGCCAGTATGGCCCTCTGATCATCATACTATCCATTATTAAGCTCTGTTGCCCTGTTAACATTTATTACAAAACAGAATCTTTTTATTCATTCTGTGTTTTTAAATTTATTATGTACTGTTATATTAGTGACATATGTAATTCTGTTTGTTGCTTATTTCTTTGACAGTTGAAGAGGATGCAACTATTGGCATTCTCATGAAATATATTTGGGCTTACAGTACACTCTTATCAGTCCTTTTTCTTTGCTATCCTATGATGATGTTGGTTAAACAGGTGCTTTAGTCACTTAGTTTAGTATTAGAATAGTAAAACTACTCATTCTTCTCTTGGGTTTTTTGGGCATAAGCACTAAATAAAAGAATGTGATGTCACACATCTTTAGTAAGTTCTTTCTTTATGGTCTGTAATATGTATATTAGATTAGTCTTCTACACACATCTTTGAGAAACTTTATGAAACAATGTAGGTTTTGAGCCTTTCACAGTTGTGGTTATGAAGATGGCAGTCTTCTGGGTTGTAGCACCTTGTAGTCTGGTAGAAGTTTACTTATACCAGACTACACAGCGATCTTCATAAACAATGTATACAGTAACTGGACACTTTTACCTCTATGTGATGCATGAAATTGTACAGCAAAAAATAAACACTGAACTATTGTTACTAAAATTGAAAGGATGTGAAATCACTTTCTTTGATGTTTATTAACATGGCATCTTCATAAACCCAGATACAATGTTTCATGCATTAAGTTGCATAAGGTTTACATGACAACAAAACAGTAGTGGACATAATCACTTATTAATGGTAGCCCGAGAATGGAAATTTAATTTATTTTTCATATATTTTCATAAGACTTGTATGCTGAAGTAATTGAACTCATATTGTTGGCAGAGGCTAAACAGTCACAGTTCTTGCTGTTTGGGAAAGCTCGTCCAGCAGTGATTAAAGGAATCTCATTGACGGGGAAGCAGAGGCCACAAGAGGTGATGATTCCAGTCATGGATTTGTCACAACCAGCTGCACTTGACTATGATGTCAGAACACAGTACATTTACTACTCTGATGTCCAGAGGTAACCAAGAAGGAAGGAAAAATTAAATGTATTTCTGCACTGTAGAATTGTTGTGAAGTTTCAATAAGAATTAAGTACCATAGTTATAGTTGAGGAGAAGAAGAAGTGTTCAGTTGGCAAACGCTTTTCTTGGGGACCACCACACCCCCTCCCTTCCCCAAAGTAGAAATGACATTTTCTGAATTATGGGCCGTGGTACACAGTCATGGTCAAAAACCCTGACAGTGCACAAAGCAAATTTTTGTGTATTTAAATATGACGTTTCTTTTCCCAATAAGATACTACATCACCTTTAATTTCCTGAAGTTTTCTGCAGGTGTATTGTACAAGAATTTGTAGGGGGTAAGAGATTTATTGAAATGAACATAACTTCTGTAAAAAGTTCCATTTTAGAAGAAAGTAGAAGATTTTTATAATGGTATTATATCTATTCAGTCAGGAATGTGGTACTTTGAGTCTTCCTGCTATCACATTGCGAGTCTTTTCAGACCCTTGGGCTAACTAACTCCATCGAGCAGAGTCCTCCTTGAAAAGCTAGTAGTACATTCAGCTAGTCAAGACATTTCCCATCTGCTATGAAACCCAAAGGTTTATTACTATGTTTACAAGATCTTGCCATTTTTCCCTGTCCTGATTCAGATGAATTCAGTCCATACCCTCAGGCCCTTTTTCTCTAAGATCCATTTTAATATTATTCTCCTATCTACAAATACTGGTAGCCCTTTCCAGTTTTATCATAACATATAAACATTTGAATTGCATACAGTCTTTTGAGTGATGATTGCACCAGAAGAATGGGTGAAAATAATATCCCTATCTCATCTTGTTGATCACAGAACCATCAGTACTAAACAATTTGTACTGTCATAATTGTATATAGAAGAAGTGTAGCTTAGAATGTCACAGATAACTAAACTACAGTGAAACCTCTATCCATCGTTCCCCGAACTATTGTTTTCCCGGATGCATTGTCAGTTTTGTCTGGACCCTGATATGTCCTATATAAAATAAAGTTACATTTTATCGCTTCTATCGTTTTTCGAACTGTTGTTTTATCGTATCAGTCGTTCAAAAATCATAGTCCTGGCCCACAATTTTCCTGCACTGATCGTTTCTGAGAAATTATAACGAAATTTACGCAATGTTTTTATAATTTAAAATGATCACCTTGGAGATAGATCAGTATCGAAAGACATGCAGCGAGCTTACCACATGTGAAGTCGATGCTGTTGATGAATTGTGAGAAGATTGTGAAAGGAGCCGAAGCAGTGAGGAAGGAGTAGATGATTGTGAACCCGAAGATGGGCAGAGTTTTGCTGGCTCACATGCTGCCTTGATGTAAAAGTGAATTCGTTTTTTTATGGGCACAATATTTGTGAAGGTGATGAGGAAAACTTTTTGAACATGGAAAGGGCTCTTTTTCGCCTAAAATGAAAAGTTATCCATTCAAGACTTTTTTTTGGTGAAAAGAAGTAACTTTGAAACAGGTTTTGTGTGTAATGTTCTGTCTATGCCAAAGAGAAAAATGCACTATTTTAATTTTTTCTCATTTTTAATGCTTTCCTGCAACTGTCATTTTCCCATATTCATCGTTTTTATTTCTCTCCCTTGCCAAAAACGATGCATCCAGGTTTCACTGTATATACACACACACACTAATTACAGTAGTACAGAAAATATAAAAATGTATGCAAATTTTTATTCTAGATATGTAATTGAACGTCAGAAGATAGATGGATCAGAGCGTTCAGTGGTTCTTAACAAAGGTTTAAATAAATGTGAAGGCCTGGCCATTGATTGGATGGGTCGCAATATCTACTGGACTGACCAGGGTCTGAGAGCCATTGGTGTTGCCAGGTTGGGTGATACAGCTCAAAGGAAACATTTTCTGTACCCAAAGATGTACCATCCCAGGGCCATTGTAGTCCATCCTGAGATGGGGTAAGTGACATAAAATTACCAACATCTACACTTAATGGCTTTCCTTTCAGATTTGTTTGTACTTAACATAAATTTCAGAAGCTTTAATAGATATAACATTCATGGATGGGAGAGTTAATATTGAAATTCATAGGGAAGTAAATGTGAATATTTTATATTGATTGTCATTTGTTTCAGCCTTATGTTTTGGACAGACTGGGTAAGTTCAACACCACAGAATGGAAAGATCGAACAAGCATGGATGGATGGAACAAACCAAAAGTCTCTTATCGAATTGCAGTTGCATTGGCCTAATGGTCTCAGCATCGATTATGTGGACAGGAAGTTATACTGGTGTGATGCTTTCCTTCATAAGATTGAGCGTGCTGATTTGGATGGAAATAACAGAGAGGTATGTATCCCCAGAGTTTGCAAATGTTGCAAATTGCTGGGTTGGCCTTTCTTTCAGTATCTTGGCTGTCATCTTCCTGGTATGGAAAAAATCATAGTCCATGGGCTGTTCTTTTCTTTAGCATCAGTTTTATATTTTGCTTTTGTACCTACTTGATATACTTGTATGAAATATAAGTTAAGAATTTGTAATCAGGTGGTTGCTGTATTGCTAGCTCTCAAACAGTTTTGTAAATTTCAGTTATGAAGGAAGTTTGGTGGTCTCAAGGGGGAAATAGGACTCTTGCTCAAAGGATCCATTGTTCATCCTATAGTAAAATATTGATGCATGTTTACTGGTTGGTTGTTGATTTGTTGTCATTTTTATCTGAAGACTATTTACAATACATGTCTTGGCTTAATGAATCACTTGTTTCATGTTGTGTTTTTTCTTTCCAGATTGTTTATGGTGGACCCCAGTTACACCATCCATATGGATTGGCATATTTCGATCATTATATTTATTGGACTGAGTTCCAGAAGGGAACTGTTCATCGCAAAAAGCTCAGCACAGAAGAAGACACAACTGAAACACTGAGTGAAGAATTCTCATCCCTCTTCGAGATCCGTGTGTATGACAACACCTCTCAAACAGGTGGTTCATAATTATTGATTTAGCATCAGAATGGTTTTTGTTAACTCTTGAAGCTAGGAAATTCTTCCTAAGTAGTGGGCCTCTATTAATTTGTTTTTACACATTTTCACCTAAGCAGATTGGTGCCTCGCTAATTATATCAGCCAGCACTTTGCAACAGTGCACACTGCAGTGCGTATTTACCACATCTGATAATTACTGGTTCAGGTTAATACACTCAGTACATTAAAATATGCCAACAGATTTACAGCTCTCAAGCTCACTGATTACAGTACAATATTAGAAGTGTCTGAGCTTTGCTTTTCTGGTGGTTTGTGTGCCAGTGGATTGGGAAAATCTGTAATATGGAATTATACTCCCAACAAGTGATAGTGTGACCCAAGAACAGTAAACGGATGAGAGATGGAACAGCTGTTTAAGGTTCATGAAATGTGATATGCTATTTTTAAAGAAAACCATTACATGTTCTCTGACCAAAATCATCCTCTGCAGTAAGAGGCATGTTTATACATGAAGGTGAATTAATTAGCATTAAAGATGTTTGCATTTATACATCATTTAGTGTATGTTCTATGACAAAACAGGTTCAAATGCTTGTTCATATAACAACAATGGCTGCTCAGAATTGTGTCTGGCTGTTCCAAATGGCACAGTGTGTGTGTGTCGAGATGGATATATTTTGGTTGGCAACATATGTGTAGTCCAGCCCAATTACACAGCTCCTTCACACTGTGCGGCGCATAACTTTCAGTGTCGAGACAATCTTCGTTGCATCGACAGCCATCATGTATGTGATGGCGACAATGATTGTGGTGATGGTTCAGATGAAGATACAGGAGCAGGAGGAATATGTGGTAAAATAGTAATTCACTAAAATAATTATACTACAAGTATGTCCTCAGGCAGGATGTCGGCTGTGATGAACATTAACAAATGTCCTGTAATGTGATTTTCTTCTTCCACTTCCTCTTCTTTCATGGGTTTTCCAGTGTCATAGCTTCTCTGTTTTCCTCTGTCATAGTTCCATAAAATTCTTTTCTCTCTTGATTTATTTTAGCCACAGTATTTCATGTTCTTTCACATTTCCCATTTGGTGTCCAGTGAAATAGTTGTGTTTTCTATCTGTATTCTCCCATTCTTTCTGAATATAATTACCAGTGCAGAATTGTACAGGGTGATGAAAACATCATGCAACCCATTACTGACATGTTCTGTTTATGCACTTATGTAGTATAAACCACTCAGAGAATGTTTTCTCAGTGACTTTCGTGGAGAGTGTAACAAAGTTTGATCAATATCGTCCAAACTATTGTCACCTAACACCAAGGTTGACCATAACAGTTTTTGTCTTACATGCTTCCGGTGTTACAAATTTGGTTCACCGGACAAGATGTTGGGAAATGTATCCTTAAACTCAATGTAGCAAGTGTAAGAATGATAAGACAGTTAATGTTCAACAATAAACACTTGTTGCACTTGTGTAAAGGACATCCTTACACTTTGACTGTTGAAAGACAATTGGCAGGGGCACTTGTATACTCACAGCAGTATTGTGTGTTTTATTCATACAATCAAATTGTACTGAAATGCAACTATCAGTAAATATTTTGATATGGGTTGCATGACTTTTTATCACTCTGTATTTAGAGTTTATGATTGAAATTAACAGTAAAATAATATATATGTATAAAAAAGAGACAAAGAAACAGACCCAGCATGAAAGTTTTTCTTCAGATGGAAATTATGTTAGTAACTGTTACATTATAAAAATGAACGCTTATTTTCTAGAAGTATATGTTGTGTGTTATTATTTGATCATGATAATCACTCTTTATTTGCTATATGAAGAAAAATAAATAGGGACAAAAACTTTTCATATTATGAGTACATTTCAAGAGATAATTATGAAATATTTGCTCTTGAAAATACATTTAAAGTGTACTTTTTTGCTGGTACAGAGAATATGCACTGCCGTGATGACCAGTTCCGTTGTGACAGCAATCGATGCATCACACGATACTGGGTCTGTGATGGGGGTAAGGATTGTTTTGATGGCTCTGATGAGGATCCAAAGGAATGTGCCAACACTACTTGCAGTCCAACACAGTTCACCTGCATGGTAACACTACATCCTATGCTCACATTGCAAGCTGTAATGATTAAAATAAAAGTGTGTCTCTTAATGAGACTTCATAATACGTGAAAAGAGTCCCCACTTTGATGGATGGTTCTTGTTGCAAATCTCAACTTTTATTTGACAGGTATCAAAGCGTTGCATCCCTCTGACTTGGATGTGTGATTATGATCGTGACTGTGGAGAAGGAGACACATCTGATGAACCCAGCAACTGTGGTATTGATAAGATCCTTATTACACTGTAAAGAAATTGACTTTTACTAGCATGTTCTTCTTTTTAATGTGATTGAGAATCATGTGAAGAAATTCTGTGTTTATGTTTTCTAGGGCAGTTTATTCTTTTCCTTTTATCATTATATCAGTATAACATTGCCTGATGCTTAACTAAGGACCCTGCCGTGAAGACATGGGGGAGTGGAGTTATAGCTCCACTCTTTCTTGACTTTGAAATTAAATGTAAGTGATGTTACTGTATAAGATACAAGGCATTGATGTAATCTTATGCAGTGTTCTTCATCCATTTACCTATCCTTTAAATTTTCCCTGTGTTTAGTGTTTGCTTTCATGTACCCATCCCAGTTGTATCACTACCAAATTTCCTTTTACTGAGGTTTTCCTTTGGTATAATAAAATTCATTGTCAAACAGAGAAACTTGAAATTGGGATTGAGAGATGTTATTGGATTAAAAAATCTAAACTGATGTTTTTACTTTGACCAGACATGGCTTCCCCTTCAAGGCCAAAATAAACTTGTTCATGTTTATAACATTCTATGAATTGTAGACAAAGTTATACAATACAATGAAAACAAAGTATAAGGGTCCTGTTCCTTTAGCTTCACAGGGCCTTCACTTTTACAGAGCTTCTCTTTAAATGTTCTCCAGGTGAGAACATCTATAAAGAAAATGTTAAGGCCATACCATGTTGAAGTCATTGGTTCTCATCTTAACTCATTTTAATGTCATGGAGTCTAATATTTGGTGTATATGTTACAGAATATTCTGCATGCCTGCCAACTGAATTTGAGTGCTATAACAAACACTGTGTGGCATATGACTATTATTGTGATGGTGATGATGACTGTCGAGACGGGAGTGATGAAGTAGGCTGTGAAGATTTCTGTGATGCTGCAACGCAGGTGAGAATCTCCATTTAAGGAAATTAATCCTAATTCAGTCAGGAACTGCAACATTGGTTACAACAACAAATTTAAACCCAAAATGAGAGCAATCTTTGTATCCATTGTATATTCCCAAATCCTCCATCTTCCATCTCATTTTGAGTTCCAGTTGTTGTTGCACATGAGTTTGAATGTTGCAGGAACTGTTGTGAGATGGAATATCTGTTTTTCCAACTTTCCTGTTATTTGTTCCACTACTTCCTTTATCATCTGCATGTTTTTTGTTGTAAGGGATGTAGAACAAATTTCAGGACCACTTTTAGGCATGTTCACAGCCCTGTTAATATAGTTTTGTCTGTCTGCCCTTCCATGTGAATGCATGTAACAACTCTGGAATGGCTAAACAGATTTTCATGGAATTTGATATTGGGAAGTTTTACTACAATTTGTTGATACATTCCACTTTTGGTCCAAATCGGATAAAATGATGGTCACTTTATATGAAGACCCGTGTTTCTGTGTGAAATGGCTGGGAGAAGGATTCCTTACCCTGGGAATTCCAGGATGGGAAATCTCCAGCCATGTAATTTCAGAACCTTTTACAAAGGTCAAGTTTCGGTGACCTTACTAGAATTGTATGCTACACGTACATTTCCTGAAATGTTTTTATTTATTATACTATTATTATTTACTATTGCACTTGGAATGATTTGGCTGAGATATTACACGTTCCGTGATTTATGCATCTAACATCTGTAGTTTGTAACACTCAGCCTTTTTGTGTTATAAAAATGATAATGTGATGTGTAACTGAACACTACTCTGTCATGAAATTTCTTTTGAGTAAAAATTTACTTGGATATTATCCATCGTCTAGTAAATAAAATATAAAACGTAAAACGACGTTTCGGAGATGGGACTCTATCTCCGTCTTCAGGTTCCTACTCAGTTGGGCCCACTAGATAGAGCTAATCCCTATCTCCAGACAAAGTAAAAAAGTGAAAGTCCCAGAATACAAGAAGATCACCACACCATCCATCCGTGGGACGTAAAAGAATAAAATAGAAATAGTAGAAGCATAATTTGTTAAACATGAAAAAGCCAAATAAAAACAAAGACACACAAAAAATGGGAATAAATACATATGACCATTAATTTGAAACTCGATGCACAACTTGGACTTTTTCAGAGATGACTGGAATCCACATGCGAGATAAATCCAAACTAGGCTGGCTGATAGGATTGACAAGTAGTGCCATGTGTGCTGCCTCCTTGTATTTCATGTAGACCATATTAGGTTCTGTTAGTAACACCCTGGCTCCATCCCAACAGACATGATGATCTTCTTCATGTGCATGTTGGGCCAATCTAGATTTCTCCAGCAGGCCCTGTCTGAAGTTATATTTATGTTCCTTTATGCGTACCTCCAGAGGTCTGCTAGTTTCGCCGATATACCATCTACCGCAATCACACGGGATCCCATACACACACTGCCTAGTCTGTCTCTCGACTGTTCTGGGTCTCATGGACATCAATAAACCACTGAGAGAGTGACTGGTTTTAAAAATCGTCCTGATATTATATTATTGGGAATCGTTATAATACTCCTGACAATTTGTAATTTTGACAATCTGTCTTTTTCTCCTGTCATGTATGTGTACTGTGGTATAAATATCAAGAACAGTAGGAAGCAGAGGAACAGTTTTGGAAAGACAAGTTTCTCAATACTTATTAAATTAAAAATTAATATATGAAGTCATGTTTGTCGTAGTATAATTAAGGAGGTGACCAGACAAAACCGTACAAGACAAAACCGTACACGAAAATTGCGCACAGAAAGAAGCTCACTGTCATGAATGCTCACACGAAAATTACTCACACGGACAAATGCTCACACGGACAAATGCTCACACTGACAAATGCACACACTGATAAATGCTCACACTGACAAATGCTCACACGTA